CGGACAATGGGGAGGGGGTGAGGGCATGAGTGGGGGGGGGGTAGAGGGTAACGTTGGGACAAGGACACATATGTAATATCTTAATCAATAAAAAATATATTTAAAAAAAAGAAATTATTTAACCTTTGGAAAAAAAAAGGACAGATTGATAGTTACAGAATAGTCACGGGAATGTAAACTACAGCACAGGGAATGGTGTCAATGGAATATGGTCAATAATATTGTAACAACTATGTATGGGGCCAGGTGGGTACTGGAATTATTAGGGGGATCACTTTGTAAATTATTTAATTGACTGACCACTATGCTGTGCACCTGAAACTAATACAAAATAATATTGAATATCAACGATAATAGAAAAATTACAAAAACAAGGGGGAAAATAAATAAATATAAACACCACTATGGCTAATGTAATGCATGCAGAAGTCCACCCCCAAAGGCTGTGTCTTGGGTGCCAGCGAGACCGAGCATGGTGAGCTGGGACGTGCTCAGCAGAGCACCTGGTGTTAAGGTCTAAATACATGTTGGTTCTGCCCGGTCGGCGCGGCTCAGTGGTTGAGCATCGACCTATGAACCAGGAGGTCACATTCCATCCCCGGGCAGGGCACATGCCCAGGTTACAGGCTGAAACCCACATCGTGCAGGAGGCAGCCAGTTGGTGATTCTCTCTCATCACTGATGTTTCTATCTCCCTTTCCCTCTCACTTCCTCTCTGAAATCAATAAAGATACATATATTTTTTTAAATGTTGGTTCTTATTACCAGCTCTCAGTTGCTGTACCAGTTAGCTTTTGCTGCGGAACAAAATACTCCCAAATTTAATGTTGTAAAATAATAAACATTTATGGTTAGGACCATAATAGCACCATGTTATCTTCTCCCGAGTCTGTGGGTTGGGCGAGCCGCTCCTCTGGGCTGAGACAGCTCAGCTGGGGCTGGTGGTCCAGGGTGACTTCGTTTCCAGGACCTCAGGTGAGGGCTGGGATGGCTGTCGCATCCCCGAGGAGGCCGCCTGCCCTGGATACCTGGTGGCTAACAGACTCCCAGCAGCAGGAGGGGGCAAGCCCCAGTACACCCGTCCTTCGGGTCTCTGCTGGGGTCCCATTTCATAAGGTCCCATTGGCCAAGTCACATGGCCAAGCCCAGATCAAAGGATGAAGACATAAGCCCCGCCCTCTGATGGGAGCTACCAGGTCACATTGCAAGGGGGTGGATGCAGGGAGCAGGGAGAACTGGAGGCCACTTATACTCCCTGCGTACAAGGCACTGTGCCAGGCCCTCACGCCGTTCTGTTACTTAATCCTGCAGTATTTCCAACCTCCCTTTAGAGACCAAATCGGACACTCAGAGAGTACCTGCCACTCAGCAAGGGCCACGCAGTTAGTGAGCAGCGAGCTGGGACTGACCCCGGGCTGCCCCCTGCAGGGCTGGTCACTTCCCAGTGCACACCCTGTGTCTCCCAGCGCCCAGCAGAGTCCCCACAGCAGAGGCGCAGGCACGTTATCGGAGGCCACACTCGCATCTGAGGGCAGACTGCGCGGAGGAATGAACAGTGAACAAGAATGAGCACCACACTGTGAGCCTAGCTCTCGGCAGGTGAGATTCCTAAGCTTCCTGGGCTCACCTGGGCTTCCGCTGGGCAACCGAGGCCACAGCGCCCTCTCCTCTGGTCCCGGCCCACTGCCCCCTCCTCTGATCCCGGCCCCAGCGCCTGCCTCCTCTGGTCCCGGCCCCCCTGCCCCCTCCTCTGGTCCCGGCCCCAGCGCCCCCTCCTCTGGAGATTGCATGAGGCCCACCTGAGAGGATGCGGGTGGATGTGTTCGGAAGTTACCTGGGCAGAAACCACCCGGAGAAAAGAAGTTTCTTCTTCCTTCCTCTTCCCCAGGCGACAAAACAGTTTAGCCCTAACCTCAGGTTTCCTTTTTTTAAACAATGGTTTTGCTGTCTTTTCCTGGCCTTCATCTGTCTTTAGAGTCACTCCCTGCGTGTGCGTCTCCTGCTCAGGGTGGACCGGGCCCCGCCCCGCTCCGTCTCTCCCCGCTCTGGCTCCCAGCTGGTCCCACTGCTGTGTTTCCCACCATCTCCCCTCACGCCCTGGCCTCTCCCCCGGGCACTGCCCGTCTCCCAGCGCCACTCGCAGGCTGGGCTCGCTTCTGCATTTGGGCACCAAGAGGCACCCGGTGACCAGCAACAATGAGGCCTAAGAAAACGGGTCATTTGAGCCGAGAGAGACGTCAGTGAAACCATCTTAGTATTTGATTGGCCTTTTGTTAAGAGAATAGTGAGTCTAAGCTGCGCCCGAGAAAGACACTGACCCCTTTTCAGAGTGGACAGGACTGGGATGGCCGCACTGAAAGGCAGCGTTGGTGGCTGAAACCAGGTGTGCCACCCGCCGGGCCGCCTGGAGGCCTGACAGGCACCTGCCTGGAGCCCTGCGGACGCCCACCAGGCGGCCA